GGGTCCGAGGGTGTCTCTTTTGGCCGGCTGCACCTGTCCTAGCTAATGAGGGGCTAATGAGACTTGGAGTAGACAAACAGAAAAAGGAAGTCTTCTGAGGAGAGAATGCAAAGATTCTCTTCCTCCTCCCTCCTTTCCTTCACAGCCTTCATCTTTAAAACTGTAATTAAGGAAATTTCATTGATGTTTGGCTCTCCCTCACCATCCACTTCCCAGCTTGTTAGAGGTGCTGGTTAAGCCATACAGTTTCTAATGAAAGCTGGGATATTTGCCTTTGGATGAAGCTTTCAATTTGTTATTTTGTTATGTTTCTTTGATGGTTTGTAGTATTAGTTCAGTTTTATTTATTTATTGTTTCCTTATTTTTAATATGAAAGGGACACTACTGTTCAAACATCTGGGTTTATGTTTTTTTTACATTTCTAAAAGAAGTCTATATAATATTACACGTCAAAATAACTGTTTTCTATTTTAATATATTTTAAAATGTAATTTATTCCTGTGAAGGCAAAGCTGAACTGTCAGCAGCCATTACTCCAGTCTTTAGTGTCAGATTAGCGTTCAGAAATCATTCTAATATGCTGATTTGCTGCTCATGAAATATTTCTCATCAATGTTGAAAATACTTTGCTTAATATTTTGTGGGAACTGATTTTTTTTTTCTGGATACAAAAAAAGATGTTCAAAAAAACAGCATTTATTTAAAATACAAATGTCTGGTCCCTTAATGTCTTTAACTAATGCAGCCTTGCTGAATAAAAGTGCTTATTCTTTAAAAAAATCTTCCTGACCCCAAACCTTTGAATGATAGTGTACATCTAGACTGCAAACTGGAATACTTAGCCATGGCATAGCCACTGTGGACCAAAAAATATCTGTTGCTAACATAAATGCTTAAAGTGTATTACAGTTAGCAAGTAATGACACTAAGCAAAGATGCATTGCTGTATCAACTGATGGCTCAGTGCTGGTTTGCTTACGGCCCCCCCAAATTTCATTGTATTAGTCGATAAAATATCAAAACACTGGCATCTGCAAACTAAATTTAACTACTTTGAAATCAATTAGAAGAGTAACATTCTTCAATAACAATTTAGGTAGTCAATTGTCAAGTTTGCACAGGTGTCTTAGCAGAGTAATTAATCACATGAACTATTCTCTATAGACATTCTGCATTAATATTTAACAACCAGAAAGCATTTTTAACAAATGTTTTGCTCAAGTTGGTTTGATATTTTGTATCGAATGCAATGATTTAATCTTAAATTAAGTGTTCTAACACATTTTGGGGGCCACCGTACTCTAGTTTTATCTAAACCTCAAATAACAAATATCTCTAGCTGAAGTCCGACTGCCACGCAGTGAGGAGCCCGTCCTGGCATCCTTACGCCTGAGCAGTCGATAGGTGTAGGAGCGAGTGTTCCTCTGCCATCCAGCAAGTGGGGAGCAGTTCCACCATAATCCCCCTTTCTCCTACTCACGCTCTCTTTCCCCCGTGGTTCCATTCATATTCTAATCACAGCTTTCCCTTCTGCAGTTTGTAGGCACTCCATCAGAGCCCTCCCTGCCTCAGACTCTACACTTTTACTTCCCCCTTTTGTGGCCGCGCTCTCCTCCCGGCACACTAAAATAAGGTTGCTTCAAGGAGAGAGCGAGAAGGGGAGGGGGGTCCACCAAACTTTCTCTTTCCAGTTTTGCCAACAGCCTTAATGGGCATTTGGTGTCAAAAGCATCCAAAATGACGATGAACACATTTGTGAAAGAGTTCGATGTTTTTTTGCATTGATTTTGAATGAACGCAACTTTGACGTTCCCATTTCGAGATCTATTAACGGCATCAAAGACATCAAAAAAGTTCTGCAATGGGCCAAAATGTGACCCTTGGATGTAGAAATTTAAAACTAAAGCAGTGGGGGCAGAGTGTGTATGTGTGTGTGAGGAGAGGGTACGAAAACGTATTAAATGCTATAATGGGAGACGGGGAGGCCATAGTGCTGGGATTGCGTAGATCTAAGCCTCTTTTTTTCTGGGAAGGGAGCTTTTCTTATTCAAAACAGCCCCACAAAAGACTTTCAGTGAGCCTTGCCACATCCCCATCTGACTCGAAGCCATTCATCAGCCTGCCGAGCCTATCAATGACATGTCCCCCATCAGGGCTCCTATAAAATCAGCCCCTTTCCCATGAAACATCAGCAAACATTTTGACGGCTCTGGCTTTTCCCCCGCTGGATCTCTGGAGTCTGTGACCCCCTCTCCACCCCACCCGCTCCTACAACCCACACCCCCACCTCCATCACCACCGCCACCCTCTCCACGGACCTCACATCTTATGCATCTCAACGTCGGGCTGTTCTCTCGGAGAGACGGAGGGGGAGTCCTGCACAGAGCCATTTTCTCAGAGGAGCCCCTGGAACGTGCATGGGAAGAGGATGCATTGTGGGCTGCTGGAAGAGCCTGACATGGATTCCACAGGTTGGTTCCTGCTGTACCGCTGTGGCATTGCGACGCTTGGGATCTGGGCTCTTTTGGAACGCGAAACGGGCCTTGGGATTGCGTGACCCGAGATTGGCATCAGAAAAAGTTTTTTAACCTTCCGTAAGGGAAGCTCTTGAATCTAGTTCACCAAGAGATAAGTTGGCATGTTTTTTTGGCCTCATTTTTAATTGCTCATGATGGGTGTTTTACGAAATAGCAATATGACCATAAATTTAGAATAAACTTGCATACGGTACTGAGTTTGTCGTAGTTTTATGAAAATGATGCACCTGCTCAAGCCAGGTTTTGACTTGAGTGAAACTGCAGTCTGTAATATTGGTCATTATAAAATGGCTTCTTCTGAAACTATAAACTCTGAAGAAAACATTATCATTCGTACAAAATATTTAGATAACAGATGTCTTGCTGTAGTGGTTTAACAAAAAAAAATTGTATTTACTAATTTTGTTTTTAAAACATATGTTCCATGTGGCCTCAAAAAGCAGTTATTCAGTTCAATTCTGTTCAATGCCATTGTTTTGTGAAAAATTATTGAATAAGTTAATTATTGAATATTTGCCATATTCGGATGACACTTTTCCACTGATATTCAGTGCATGATTATAAATTATCTCAGATCAGTCTCGCCTTTAGATTGGATTTAATCCAATTATTTAGAGCACTACTTAAACTGTTCACAGAGCAAATAATTCAATTACAGACTAAAGAATCTGATCTCAATTGACTGAGCCAATGCTGACAGAGATTAGTTTGAGAAAATGTTTTTTGTTGAGCTTCAAAATAACAGCTGCATAATAATAATAATACATTTAAAAGCATTTAAAATAAAATGTCAGCAAAAATGAACTTGACTATGTTGTTAAAAGAAAATAAATAAATAAAATAAAATAAAAAATAACCAATTGGTGGCATTCCAAAGCATGTTAATACTATATCAAAAAGTCAAATAAATAGTTTAGACAACCTGTTATTATCTGGTGTTCTCATTGATAGTGACCTTTTAAAAATTAGGCTACCTTGTATATTTTGTAATGTGAGGGATATTTCAGGTTTTAAGTCAATTTAACTAGTTTATCTTTTTCTCCATCTCACTTCAGGTTTATTTAGCCTCTCAGTAACTCACTATTTGGAAAATTTGTTTTCTAGTTTGTAAAATAACTCAACTTTAAGAACTTAAATAATTATAATAATTGGCCTTAACCCACTTATGAGATGCACTGTGTAATAGGCTACTGTGAGGATATTTTTTGTTTGTTTGTTTCCTGATGAAACTGATTATGAGGATTTGATTATTATGATGCATCAAAGCTGGGCCTCATTCAAGTATTTTTAGCTCCCAAACTATGACCTGCAACCCGTTGAGAAATGTACATTTCAGTCTTAATAATTTCATCAAATCATCCCTAAAAGAATCAAGTCGAAACTGCTTCTCACTTTACACCTGCGGTTTGAGTAGTTAGTTGTCTGATGGCTGTCAAATAACTTCTACAACAAAAGTTTGAAGTCTCATAAGTTTCACTATAACTTCAGCCGCCGTCTGATGCATCAGCAGGGCTATTGGTTTCCAAATCGACTCGCACTCTTGGCAACCGATGCTATAGTGACCGTTGCCATGGCCCGTGTGGGACAACATGATTGACATAAGTTCGAATCGAATTATATTAGAAGTGTTTCTGTTTTGTGATGTAAGGACACCAGCCGGCATACTTAACATAGCAGAAGCGAGAAAGGCAAAAAAGGTTCTATTATGACGACACCACTATGGAGGAGCGCGCGCTTGTAATTCGCCTCGGGAACAATGCAGGATTCCTGCAGTTCTGCTGAAAACATTACATATAGAATCCCAGCTGCCCAAAGATCCGCACAATCGATTGTAATTGAATTGCACCGTCATTATTATGCCCCTCAACTCTATAGACGGTGGCTTCAAGAACACAGCCACGTTTATGGATGTTTATTGCACTCGACCATGTGAACAAGAATAATTATATGGAATTTACAAATGAACAATTACAGTTTAACACTTCGCTATTTTTTTTCAAGCTGTGGGGAGAAAAACTAAAAGAAAAAGAAAGTTAAGTTTAGAAACCACAGCGCGGTCATGCACCTGTTGCTTCTGCTGATGGGAATACATAAGATAAATGATTTGAAATTTAGGCGATGTTAAAAAAATACAAATAGAATGGAACAGAAAATAATAAGTGAAACGCTTGTTTAATTTAAATTTTTATAATAATTTTGTTTCATCTCAGAAGAAAAAAGAGAGGACTTAACAAACACTGTGAAGAAAGCCATATATGCCTACAATAAAAATATATATGTAAATATATATATATACATGTATATTTTTTACTTTTGCAGAGAGCTGGATTGAAAGATGTCTGAACGAAAGCGAGAGCAAGCGGTTCTCCAGCCCCTCTTCTATTGGAAATATGTCCAACGACGAAAGTAAGTCTAGCGAATATTCATGAAAAAATTAAATGAAACTATAAACTGCATGAAACATGAACTATTATTTCAGAGGGAACCTAATGTGAGTGTTATGACAGAACATGTCTTTAAAAAAGAAAAAGAAAAAAAAGACATCTTTGTAAAACTCTGAAAGCCTACATAAAATTATATATATATATATATATATATATATATATATATATATATATATATATATATAATACATATTTTATATATATATATATATATATATACAGTATATAATATTTACCATCACCTGACACAATTCAGTTGAACTCTTGAAAGTTTTTAAACCATAGTAAAATTATATATATACTGTATATATAATTAGCTTTGATATTTTAAGTGACATCCATGACATCCAATAGCAACAAATGGCTTCAGTCTGTGAAATATAATGTGTTTTTTGAGAAATATAACCATCTGTGTATAGTTTCAGGGCTCAATTTTGTAAAATGTCATGTTAGTGCATAGCTTGTAAGTTAATAAATAGCTTGTAAATTTGTCAGGATTCAAGTATCAGAAAGGAAAACACTTACAACCTCACAGAGAAATAACTTATTTAAAAAAAATCTTGTTTTTTAATCTAGTTTACTGGCAAATAATTCTAAAAAAAAAAAAAAAACAAGCCCTTTTCTCTTGTTTCTTTCTTTTGAAATATTTACTAAACCATACTATGTATTTATTTATTATATAAAAAAGAGGAATCATTTAAACTCAAGAATGTACTATATATATATATATATATATATATATATATATATACCACAACAAAATTGTAAGTGCAAGAACATTTTGCATATCATTTTGAAAGCACTACTTGAAAGTATGTCTGTAAAATAAACTAAAATTTCATGTTGGCCGATGCTTGAATCCAGTACATACAGTGTAATTGGATGATAAGGCAATGATATTTGTTTTAGAACTGCAGTTATGCTTCCTTCCATGTTTCATCACAGGGTTTAATTTTGACGTATGATGCCTTGAGAAGTGTTTTCTAGACACTAGCTTTCCATGTGCCCTGACCAAACTGTGTTTTCATCAGGTTGGAGGAGAACTATGAGATCGCAGAGGGTGTTTGTATTCCTCGCAGTGCACTGTACATGCATTATTTGGACTTCTGCGAGAAACTTGATTCTCAGCCGGTCAATGCTGCAAGCTTCGGGAAGGTAATAACCTGTATTCAACGCTTCAGTGATGAAGTCAAATATTCCAATAGTATTATGATAGTCAAGTTTTGATGAGGTAATCATGGAGTTTTCTCTCATCAAAGATCTTATAAACATGCATGTTCACGTGAAAGAGGAAGGAAAACATCAGTTACAAAAAAAAAGCATGACATAATACTGGGTATTATGAAGAGCCACATCCAGTGGTCTTTTCTTACACCTCTTCTGCAAACTCATAGCTGGACAATATAAGCAATGAACATGTTCACCCTTGTTCCCACAACCCTTCAACCCAACTACTCATATAGCCGCCCCCCGACACCCTTATCCCGCTCCCCCGGGTGCTGTCGGAGGATATTGAAAAAGAGAGGGGGCCTGGATTAATGTGTAATTAAAGGAAATTTGGAAGGGTGAGATGTTGCGGAATGTTAGATCAGTGGCTGGAGCAGCGTGGGGTGTCCTTTAGGAAGGCTTCATTGATTCGGGACAAAAAAGAGAGAGAGAGCTGGACCTGCCTCCCTGTCTGCTCATTTATCAAGCCAAGCCTGACAGAAACTTCACAGCTTGGCCTCTTTTTTTCATCCCACACAATAGAGAGTTTCACTGTTTGCAAAGTTTTCTGCACCGGGAGCTGGACCAAGGAGCTCATGGACAAAAAGCACAGAGAGAATGAGAGATTGGCGAGAAAAGAAGTGTCATTGGACATGTATGAATCTAACAAGATGATTGAGAAGATATGTTTGTTATAGTTGTAAAAGATAAGACACTGATGTCACAAAAGATGTGCCCAGAAAAGCTCAATATATGTGTATTTTTTTTTCTTTTTACCTGATCCAAACAGATAATAAGACAACAGTTTCCTCAGTTAACCACACGGAGACTAGGAACCAGGGGCCAGTCAAAGTAAGTTCATTATTCAATATTCGAGAACTTTTCTAACCTTTTACATTTGTCATGTCACTTTAAATATGTTTTGTCAAGTAGGTCACAGTCAGAAGCCCACAAGCAGTGTTGGGGGTAATGCATTTCAATAATTCGAGTTACGTAATCGGATAACTTTTTTCAAGTAATTAGTAAAGTAACACATTACTTTTAAATTTACAACAAAATATATGAGTTACATTTTCAAATAAATAATGCAAGTTACTTTGTTTTCCATTTATTGATTGAGACCCTTTGTTTCCATGTTGAGAGAAATTGCGAGTAAGTGCTAAGTCGTTGTGTGCGCTGTGTAAACATGATGGTTAAATAACACAAATGTATATTATGTATTTAATCTCACTGCTCACATTTGATGGTCCAATTCACCCATACGAATAAGGAAAAAATGACTTTAGTTAAACATATGTTTTTTTTTTCATATTGTTACTTATTTTTTATTAGCAAGCCCAGCCCAGGTGAGAAAAAGTCATGCAAAATGTAACGCATTACTTTCCATAAAAAGTTTAAAACACAATTAGTTACTTTTTGGGGGAGTAGCGCAATATTGTAATGCATTACTTTAACTTTCCCCAACACTGCCCAATTTTTTTTTTAAAAATTATATCTGGTAATCAATTTGCAAAATTATTCACAATTATTTTTCACTGTGTAAAAGTTGCACTCTTCCAAATGTCATGGTCATCACTTTTTTATATTTATAATAAAAATATATATATATTTATTTATAGGGAGAGAGAGAAATTATTAATTATTTATAATTTATGAAATTACATTTTTTCATGCCAAACAAAGTACACAACTTTTGTTCATGCTTGATCTCACCTACAGCACCAAATGAACTGTCAAAAAAGATGCAGTTTTGAGAATCTTAGGCATTGAGAGGTGTATCACCATTTACACTCCATAGATGATATGACAAAGTTATTCATGTGTATAAAAAAGTACCAGTGCAGAGATTATGAACACTTTCTTATCATGACTGCTTTAACTGCTTTAGTAAAACTGCTTTATTCAGCAAACAAACCACAACTCATGTATAATTTTCAACCTGCCACTCGCTTGTCCCTATTAGGTATCACTACTATGGAATCGCTGTGAAAGAGAGCTCTCAGTTCTACGATGTGATGTACTCTAAAAAGGGCGCTGCGTGGGTGAACGAGACGGGCAAGAAAGTGGTCACCAAACAGACAGTGGCATATTCACCGCGCTCCAAGCTGGGCACTCTCCTGCCAGACTTTCCAAATGTCAAAGACTTAAATCTGCCTGCCAGTCTGCCAGAGGAGAAGGTAAACAGATCACTAAAACTCTTAACTGCTAACCTCCAACTCCAACCCCCCTCTCCCTGCTCCTGCCCGCTACCCACCCCTCCTAGATCCTGCTTTCATGTGTCAGACGGACCTTCCCTGGGCCTGGATTTAGATGAGGACCTGGAGGATTTATGTGTTGGTTCCTAGCGAACTCTTAATCTTTCGAGTAGATAATAAGATCTTGCATTGGACAAAGGATGGGCACTAGCTGTCTCGCTTTAAAAAGGCGCCTGTAATTTTAAATGGTTTGTGAGTTTCTGATCTTTAAAGCCTCTTTTTATACACTGGTTTGGCAAGACCCTGTAAATAGGAATTGTTCATGAAAGCAGCTTTTTTGTTGTTTGGTATTTATATCCTCTTTCTTTAGTGTTAGAGTCTTTTAGTGTCTTATTAATGCATGGCCATGAGTCAGGAATGAATTTGGTATGACATCATTAACACTAAGTGAATTATTCTCTGTGGGAAAGTATTATAAAAGTCATTTAAATGAGCTTTTTTCCTCTGCAAGGTCTCAACCTTTATCATGATGTACAGAACTCACTGCCAGAGGATACTGGATACAGTCATACGAGCCAACTTTGATGAGGTCTGCATTCTGATGCTTTTTCTTCAAGCTTTTTCATCCGGTGGCATTATGTGTTATCGCAGTGTTTATTTGTGTTTGTGTATATGCCTAGGTCCAGAGCTTCCTGTTGCACTTTTGGCAGGGCATGCCACCACACATGCTCCCTGTCCTGGGCTCCTCTACAGTGGTGAACATAGTTGGTGTGTGTGACTCCATATTGTACAAGGCCATCTCAGGGGTCCTCATGCCTACCGTCCTACAGGCTCTGCCTGACAGGTGAGTCCCATTCCTGCCTATTTTGATTTTGTTAAAAAGTGTATAACACAATTTATGCACTTGCAGTTTTGGAAAGTTCTGCAGTACCTAGAACTAAATGCAACCCATTTTATTTCCTCATTGTGACTTAATTCTGAGTGAAATTGGATATTTAATTAAAAAAAAAAACAATTATGACAGGATTTGATTCTGATTTATTTATGGGATTTGGGTGGATTGAGAAGTTGAACCTATATAGAAAAGGGAGAATTTGACAAAATAAGAGGGCTTGGTGACATTAGAAAGTTAAAATCAAGTAAAAGCACATATTAATAGGATAATGAAGATTTGTCAAGCTTATAAAGATTTTTTTATGTGCATATTTGGACATTATATTTCACATTCAACATAATCAGAACTGCCTCAGTAAGAACAGCAAACTGTATGAAATTAACCCTACTGGTGGTAAAAGACGCATCTTTATTTTCAGTAATAGTTGAAATCAGATCATATATACACAGTGCTGAATAGACATTACAGAATCACACACAATTTCTTAATATCAAATGAAGATCCTCATGCCAGAGTCCTTAAGTAGGTTTTTAAATTGGACTTAAATTGGCATTTCTCCTTGAAAATAGACAAGAAAGCTGGCATGGCATTAAAACACCAACCAATCAACTTTGATCAAATGGAATTTTGTCTTCAAGCTAATAATATACCCTAAGTACTATTGCCAAAGGGATCATTGCTAGCATTATTTGCATATCAAACTTTATGTCAGTGTAATTAACTGATGGGAAGATTTCCCATAAATGACGCATGACTCCTATTTTTATTGCCCAGGCAAAAGGTCAAAAATTTCAGTGCGTCAGAGCATCCTTTGTACTGTGTAATGTACTTATGTGTAATGTACTACACTATATCCTTGTTTGTGTGCTTTGAATAATGCAGCCTCACTCAGGTGATCAGGAAGTTTGCCAAGCAGCTGGACGAGTGGCTGAAGGTGGCATTACATGACCTGCCTGAGAACTTGCGCAACATAAAGTTTGAATGTATGGGCTAATATATTTGAGAATAAAAAACAACAAAAACGAATCTTGCTGGTATTCTAAGGCTATATTTGAATAAATATATGTTTTATTCTCAGTGTCAAGAAGATTTTCCCAGATACTTAAACGACAGACATCATTAAACCATCTCTGTCAGGTAGCCTATACAGCAATTTTATTTTTAATATTGAACATTTTTCTCTTAGTCTCCAATTCTCCATCATGTTTGCATCATGTTTTCACAAATGCATATGATCAGTCACAGTGCAGGGTGAAATTATATACTTGCTTTTGCAGGCTTCTCGAACTGTGATCCACAGTGCAGACATCACCTTTCAGATGCTTGAGGATTGGAGGAACGTAGACCTTAACAGTATCACTAAACAGACTCTTTATACAATGGAAGACTCCAGAGAGGACCAGAGAAGACTTATCATCCAATGTAAGTTTTGAATGAAAAAGACCTGAGAAAAAGACCTGAGACCTAGCTGGTTTCATTTAGAATGATTTATTAGTGTTTCTGTGCTGTACTAGTTTAGTGCAGTGTGATTGCAGTGTTATTGTAGCAGAATCACATGCAGCACTGTGTTAAAAGCCCTGCTGGTTTATGTTTCGGATTTCACACAGTAGTTGTCAACCAGCGCTGAATCATTCCCACGACCATGAGAGTCGAGCTTTAGCCACAGACACTGAGAGGTTAACCCTCACAGTTTGACACCCTGAGGAGCATTTCAAATTAATTTCAGCATCAACCTCTCACATGATTGATCAGGTCAAAGTTAAAAGATTCTGTCATGTCATCTTCAAAAGAGGATTCTGAGCTCTTCTCTCTCTCTCTACATTTCATACAGTGATCTCAAGTCTGTGCCAGTAGTCTTTTTGCAATTATGTGTAAGCAACTTTTGCAAGCAATTAAAACTGATATTGTGAAATGAATGCTTCAAAAATGAAAAAATAAAAAATAATAATTAGAAAAAAGAAAAATAATTGTATTAATTTTGGATGCATATGATTTCTTCTTTCTACTCAGATATATTGTTAATCTCTCTATCTATCTGTTTTCTGTTGTTTTTCAAAGTGTATCAAGAATTTGACAGACAGCTGGAGGACCAGTCACCCATTGAAGCCTACATCGAGTGGCTGGACTCTATGGTGGAGAGATGTGTCGTGAGGGTAAGTGTACAGGCCATAAAATTCATTTTATGCTTAATTTACACTTAATTTGCAGTATGATGATTATATAACTAGATATTTCATTATGTAGATTATATATATATATATATATATATATATATATATATATATATGTTAAATTGTTATGGTACTATATACCATTTATAGTACTAAATGGTACTATATATGGTTAAAAACTGTATTGGACATTACATGTATTGGACATTCATTTTATGGGCAAGGATTGTGCCATGCTCCTTATGAATTCTTTCCCCCATCTCATTCAGCACATGGACTCAAAGCATCATATGCTTCAGTAACTCTGTAGAGTTTATGGTTGGACTGCTAGTTCTGACTTGGTTTTGAGCTTTTACCATTTAAATGTGCTTCAGTATTGTGCCAATTAACAACATCAAATAATTTTGTTTACTTGAAGCTTCGATTCAAGATTCAAATCGAATTGCATTTAATAGCTAATGCTTTATGGTCCACAAAGCCTTCATTTATTACTTGGACAGGAGACTTGAATTGGTAGAATACATTAACTTTTTATGGTAAATGGGTTTTTTGTATTGATAGGCTCATTCCATCTGATCCACCTCATGTTTGATGACTAGAGCCATAAAAGCTGCAAAAACACCTATGCAAACTTATTTTTTATTTTATTTTTTAAGATTTTTATTTTGTCTACAGGTTCAATGTAAACTGTTCCATTTCAAAAACTGAGATATTTCTGACTATTGTTTCATATGAAAGACCAGCATGTAGGCTTGGTGTAGTACTGATCTGTCTGGTGGAAGAGGTTGTCCAAGCTGGTTGACCAGGACACATCTGATCTGCTGGGGAATCTTACACCAGCACTCCAGCATGCAAAACGTGGTGATTGCAGCAGACAATCACGAAAATGTCTTAACTTTGACTTTTGTTTTGTACTACTATAGCAGATTCTGGGGAAGAGCTGATGCTCATGGGTTCCACACCCACATCGACGTCACCTGGACCCTTATCTCCTGCCAAGTCTGTTCACTCAGTGGGTGTGCCAGCAGTAGGTTCCCCCAATTCAGCTCAGTCTCCAGAGTACACCAGCATATCAGCTACCACAGGTAAATAGTGTAGAACTGATTCTAAAACACAGTATCACATTCAACAGTACATTTTGCACAGCCCATTTCATGCATCCATTAAAAATGCATCTCACAGTAAGATAATTTAATTAGCAAGCCAAACACGTTTCTCTGTATATGTATGTCTGTGTATGTTCCAGGAGCTGTTCAGTCATATACCTGGTCCCTTACATACACAATGACAGCCTCAGGTGGCAGCCCACCCGAGACCGGATCCCAGCTTTCCTGCATGAGAGGCGGACCCCCTCTATATGGCTCCTCATCTACCCACAGGATGCCAGTTTACCCACATCGGGATGAGCATGGGTAAGCCCCCAAATGAATGATAAGACATTAAATGATGTGCTGAATATGACATTACAGTGTGGATTATGAAATGTTTTTAGAGATTTGTACTCAGTACCTTTTTTTCTATATTGGCAGCTATAATTACAACAGCTACGCAAACCAGCACCATCACGCTATCCAGAGTCAGTACTCCAGTTTAACCCATGAACCAGGGCTGCCCACCCCTCTGCATTACTCCTCATACCACCGGACCTCCGCACAGGTTAGGCCCCTCCCACCAAAATGATAAAATCATACAGTATTATTTTATGATACTATTTTATCCACAAGCACTGAACTCTGAACTATTTATAAAACACATGATTAAAGAATATAGTTTCACAATTTTGTCAGACAACACCTTCAGTTTCACAACTCTAGGTCTGACAAAAGTTTGAATGTCAGTTAAAATCACATTTATGATAAATCATAATTAGGGTTGCAAAGGGGTGGAAAATTTTCGGGTAAATTTCCAGAAACTTTCAAAAAAAAATCCCTGGAATATTCCAAAAAAATCCTGGAAAGTTTCCAAAATTTCTGGAATGTTTCCGAAATTTACTGGAAATTTTCCACCTTTTTGCAACCCTAATCATAATTATGACGCAAGTCAGAAACTGGCATAATTTAGATAATTATAACAAAACATCGACTTTTTGTCAATTGACTGTCATAATTTAAACTTTTTATTTCATAATTATGATTCATAATAGTCAAACTTATGACATACTAAGCCACAATTATGTGATATGAAGTCACATTAATGAGAAATTAAGTCATAATTATGATAAAAAGCCAAAATTATGACATACTACATTTGATCTCATAATTATTATAGTACTTATAGTAGTATATCATATTTTTGCTTTTTTTAATCTTAAGACTGTCACATTTGTCAACTTTATATTTTCTTTTTTTTTTTAATCTCAATATCTCATTATTTTGAATATTTTTTTTTGTCATAATTATGATTTACCAAAGAAAGATTTTTTTTTTCTGTGTGGCAGAAATGGGTTTCCATGTGCATTTATTGCATGTGCAAACAATTTTAGTTACATATTTAATATTATTATTATTATTTATTTAAAAAAATTTAAATGGAAAAAAAAAAAAGCAAAAGCAAACTATTTTATTCAAAGATGAATCATGAACAATAAGGCCAGGAACAAACATTTAGAAAGTAAACTAAAAACAAAATAACAGATGAATATAGGTGTGTATTCCCCAGTATTTAGAGTGGAAGTGTATTCCATCCTTGTCTCTTTTGCAGGGTTTGTAACAGAGAAGAATACTTGTGTGAATGTGAATGGTGCTTGATGAATTACAGTCATTAGCATCTGAAATGTTCTGGTAAGTGTTATCCACAGAGGTTTATGGATAGAGAATGCTTGCTTAGCTCAGTACACACTGGGGTAATAGGCTGAACTCCTGATCAGAAGTACAGGTCATTTAGCATATGTATTTAAAGCGGATTCACTTCTGAATGAGAACAAAGATGAAAAAGCTCAATTAATTGTCTTTGTTAAACCTCTAGAGAACCCTAGAGAAACAAAATGACATGTTTATAGGCTTTGATTTGATTATCAAGTACAGGAAAACCATTAGTCTGATCAGTTAGGAAAGATATAGTACACTAAGAACAGGCTGCAGGCCTGTGCCAAGTTTGGTGGAGGTGGCCTGAAAGCTCTAGGAGGAGATACAGAAATATTTGCATTGGTTTACTGAACAGTGGACAGTGTGTTTTCTCAGTGTGTGTGAAATGTTCATTTTAGTATGCAGAAATACTAAGTGTATACAAAATGCTCATGCTGCATGCTACTAGCTCAGAAGCTGAGTGAATAGTTGAATGCTATTCTGTGTAGTGCTTGAGATGGAGAGAGCGTGAATGGTTGAATTAAACTGTTCGGTTATGGATGGAGAGGCAGGAATCTGCATCACATATATTAAAAGCCAAAGCGGGTGTGATGGTAATTTCATGTCAAGAGCTCTCTGGCCCAGCCTGCCTTTGTAATCGGGGATCAGCTGGGCCTCAGAGTTTCAGAAGCAGTGTTGCTGAATTCTCCTCCACACAGTGGATGCAGACTCTGAAAGGTGGACCGGCAATATTTCCATCCCCTGAATGTAAGCTTTTCCATATTCCAAGCTTTCCTGATGCACTGGTGACTTCATGTGCCTGTGCGAGTCGTGAAAATTATGAAAATAAATCTAGGAATTATTGGATTGTTGGATTTCAAATCAGTAGGGGTTGAGGCATCAAAAGTAACTAGCTGTTTTATGGATGGTAATATTATTACTGAAATCTTATTAGTAATTAGTTACACTACTTGTTACTGCTAAAAGTAATATTATTACAGTAACTAGTTACTGCCCAACACTGAAGCCAAGAGACCCCCCGATACACACACTCAATGTCTCTCTACTGTCTACTCAGTGACCGCCTCTGACAGCACAACTAGCGACCAGAGATCCAGATGGAAAAGCGTTTATTAAAATATTGTTATTCAATGGTCTCTTTTCTCTGCATGAACAAGAGGTCACCAAGCAACACATCTTGGTCTCTGACCCTGCCTGACTTTTTTGCATGCTGCAGCCATTCATAAAAGCTCTGACTGAAGACGGTTTCTATTTAGAGAGCACTTATAGATTTTTACTTCCACTTATTTTCCCTCAACTTAAAATGGATACAATGTCCATGCTTTGTTTGATACGGCTACTCTGAAGGAGGCAGTGGAGAGGAGACAAATGAAGATTATGCTGACTTCCCCAGAGAGAACAGAGTGTTTTATATAGAGACATATCTTGAGCTGACATGCTCAGTTTTGTTTTTGGTCTGTTACACACAGCAACAAAAATACCTTTTTGGGAGTCTTTTAAGAAAAAGTGCTATGTTAACTTAAAAGACCTTTTTCTTCTATGCATCCAGAACAGATGTTCAAATTATGCTGAATTTTTGGCATCATCATTTTAACAATAAAAAAATGTGATTGAATAACATAACGGGAAGAATTTATGTCAGTTTAGTCAGTTGTTCCTGTCAGAAGTTTCTACATTTAAATAATAATAATAACAGTTGCAGCAAAAATATTATTAATTATTATTATTATTATTATTAGTAGTAGTAGTAGTAGCAGTAGTATGGCATTTCTTTATTTTGATTTATGATTATGGTAATACATTTACATTTAGTCATTTAGCGGATGCTTTTATCCAAAGCGACTTACAAATGAGGACAATGGAAGCAATCAAAATCAACAAGAGAGCAATGATACGCAAGTGTTATAACAAGTCTCAGCTTAACGCACGTAGCAAGGTCTTTTTTCTTTTTAATTATATGATAAATAAAAAGAAAACTGATAGAATAGAAAAAGAATAGAGCAAGCTAGTGTTAGAGGCATTTTTTTGCTTTTGTTAATTGTATAATAAATAAACAGAAAACAAATAGATGGGATGGAACATTTAATTCAGTGTCTAAGTGTTTAAGTCAGTGAAAGTGATTTTTTTTTGTGAAACAAAAAATTGATGATAATAATAATAATAATAAAAACTTTAAATAATTATTCTTATTCGTCATCTTATTATATATCATAAATTAAAAATAAAGAAATACCATACTATTATTATTATTATCATTAGTAGTAGTAGTAGTATTGTTGTTGTTGTTGTTAATTTGTTTTTGTTGGTTTTTATTTTTTACTGATATTGCTGTTATTGTTATTATTATTATCATTTAAAAAAATGAAGAAATACCATACTACTACTACTACTACTAATCATAATTATTACTACTACCAATATTTGTTGTTTTTTGCTGTTATTGTTATTGTCATTATTATTAATGATATTATTATTATAATAATTTTCATCATTACTTTAGTACATATTTTTGTCTTGTTTTTTTGCTGTATTATTATTATTATAAATATTTATTAATAAAGAAAAAATTGATACAGTGATTTGACTGTGGTTAAGGGTGTTTTAGGCACTTTGTATTGCAAAAACACTCCTTATGCATGGCCTCAAAAAGTGGCTTATTGCTTTATAAACATAAAGAAAGAAAATGAGGTTTGTTTAGAAAATGCGACACATGAGCCACTACTGATATTTTGTAACAGTCCTCATGCATGTTTCTCTCTGTTTTTTAGTATCCACAGATGTCCAGAATGGAGTCCTGTTTGATGAGTGGGTCTCCGCTTCTACATTCGAGTGCGGTGACCCCCCGATGGCCGGATGTGCCCTCGGCCAACAGCTGTTTCTCCAGTCCCACTGTCCACACGTCACGCTACCCCACCGGAGACATGTACTCCCCTCTCGCCCCACGCAGGAACTCTGAATATGAGCATGCACAACATTTTCCAGGATTCGCCTATATTAATGGGGAGGCAACGACTGGGTGGGCAAAATGATTGTACCCTTCCGAGAGTCTCCGTCCAAGAGACGATGTCTGCATGTGCAAAGCTGTGTGCAAAGCTGGACAGATAAACCAGCGGCAGCCCATATTTAACATAATTACAAAGAATGTATTTGAGTGGGAATGACATTGTGTCAGAGATGTTTTTATTGGTATGGTCAGTGTTTACAGTGCAAGCTGCCAATGAAACTCTTTTTGAATTGCAATCATTGTGAGAGTGCAAAAAGGCAGTGTCCCAGTTGTGCCTTTCCCTGCCTGTTTCTCATTTATCTCTCATGAGCATTATAGGCCACTCATTCATTTACTGTGCAAAAACTTTGGTTGCTGAGCTTGTTTCAACGTAAATATGTACGTATCTCATGGTGTTCTGTTACCACAGACTGGGTGTTTGACGTCAGTGATGTTAATGACACCACAGTGGTGTTTTTTTTGTCAACATCAAAGTGTGCTATTTTCCTAGCATAAACACAACACATTCTCAGAACCAGGAAGAAATGCCTTAATATTTGATCTCAGAATGCCCTCTTGGTCAGCTGCCAGAATACGTACGTCATAAGAGTTCAAACAAATAAAGGCCTCTCATGTCAGTACTTATTGCATGCGAACGTGAAAATAAGATTTCTCATTTTACACAAATGCAGAATTACTCCAGTGTGAGGCTGGGGGAATATTAGAAATCTTTTCTGTAGCTTTGTAACATTGTGTCCCTTTGCATTGTTTATCTGTGTTTGAACTGTATATCCAGTTTTGTATGATTTTAAGAACCGAAATGTGTTAACCTAGGTTTGTGTGTTCTTGAATGCACTCAAAGGTACTGTGGACCTATTACCCTATGGGTAGGAATAAAAAGGAAAGAATATAAAAATGTAACATTTATTATCTTTAGTCACTTTCTCTTGTAAATAAAAGCACTCAGTAACTTCTGTGATGACAGCTGTTACCATGTAAATGATATATGTGGACTTATTTGTTGCCACATAAAGATTTTTTTAAACCCAGTTCATATTATGTCTTCTATTTGTGTTTTTTTTTACTCTGTATGTCTATATGTTTGGAATATATAAGAATTTCATTGTACATGTATATTGCTATATATACAGCAATACAATACTGACAGGACTGACATGGACACTAATCAGGCATTGAACTAATCAATATTGCACTTGTTAAATTTCAGAATTGTTTAAATTGTTAAACCAGCACTGATCAAGTCTAAGAAATCAGATTCATGCACTCAATTACACTTTTTAAATGGTCACACACTGATACTTTGATTTAAATATGCATATTTATTTATGTGTGCATTACCATTTCCACCTTGCACTATAAAAATACCTTAAACCTCTCAAGTATTCATTGAAAAGGGCATTTTAATGAAATGTAGCATAAGGTCAGAGTTTGATATTTCGCAGGAAGTATATACATGCAAACCTTCAGCTAAATCCTTCTATGCTCTTTAATGAAGATGCACAAGATGCAACTCATTATTGAAGATGATATATATTCTATCGAAGTCATTTTAAAGGCTGGTCCAGAAAACTTATTCTAAACATTTACATCTATGCATTTTGCAGGCATTGTCCAAAGCGATTTACAAAAGAGGAACCTAAACATAAAATCTATTTCCTGTTGGAAAGTCCATTTGTGTTTTGGGAGGATAGTTGCTGGTCATTAGTTTACCCAGTTGATAGCTGGTTTGTTGTTGGTCACCCTGCGCAATTACCATCAACAACCAGTTATCATCTTAAATGAGATTTTCCAGCAGAATGGAAGTTTTGTTGTTCTGCCACCATAATTCTTCCAGTTAAATATCATTACATGGCCTGGTGAATTTGGACACCATCCAGGCAGCTTTGAGGAAATACATATATTTCCTATGGGCCTTAAGGATTCTTGTAAAAGCGTGAGAAACGTTTGACGGGTGAAAGTTGAACAGCTGAGAGAAACAGAGGAGGTGTTTAACTCTCATCCGTACTGTTGTTGTAAGAAGGGCTGCCAGTGCTTGTAAGTGGACGGCAAAAGCAACATTCAGAGATGAGTTTGACTACTATTCTGTCAGAGATCGACGGTGGAGATGACAAGGGAGTTGAAAAGCTTTTGCAGAAGTATAACACCGAGGTAAAGAGGCTGCTGTTAGCTTACTATCTCATGTTGTTTTAATGCGCGCTAGCAGTGGAGATATTAGCGAGTTAGCCGCCCGTTAATCTCAATATAAGTTACCTGGTGTGTATGAACCTAGAAAAAAAATGTATGATCTCAGTGCAAAAATGCTTTGCTTCTGAACTTGACATGTGTATTTGCTTTGTATTTAGTGATTAAAGCCGAGGCATTCGCTTTGGGATCGTAAACTAGCATCTTCCAGCTGTTAGCCATGATACCAATTTGATACACCAAGCTTGACTTTCAAACAAAGATGCCATCTTTTGGCCCCATGAATGAGCAGTGTGTGAAATCTTTTAAGAAAAATGGTAATTGCAGACGAATAGAGTAGAAATGAACTGTTGTGTTTGATGTTAATAGTTGTGAAAGGCTAAAGTAGCTTGACAGCTGTCAGATACGTAAAAGGAGAAAATACTCTTGGAAATAATATTGTTCTAACAGGTTTATCAACTTCTGTATGGATTCTTCTGATGTAAAGAGCAATTTTAACCTCATGTGTGGTGTTTACCTTATTTTAATGATGCTGAATTTCTGGAGGAAATCTCAAGAATACAGGATATTCCTGTAACGTGACCTATTCCTATAGGAACAACCATTGGTAAACTAAACCACTGTTAGTTAAGTTGTAGTTAACAGTTTTCAGAAAGAGACTGGTACTGTTACTGTGATTCATGAAATTCATCATGGACAATCCATACCAGCTTAAGGAAAGTACTCCTTGTTAATAGAATCAAATTTGGGTAAAATATTGCCATACTTGCCCTGATGAGTACTTGCATTAACAATATCAAAAATAGTTTTGTATTACAGGTTTACTAAAATGTCATTTTTAAATATGCAAACCAGGCATTATCTTATTAAATAAGCACTCATTTTCATAGGCCTATATTTCCAGAACACAGATCTGAATTTTGAATAAAGCCAGATAATAAAACTTTTTTTATAAACCATTAAAACTCTGCTTTTACAGAGATTTTGGATATATCTTTTTATCACTCCATACATCAGATAATACTGTCAACAGCTAGAAAAAAAAATCATGTTTTTAGGAGTGAAATGTAATATAAATCAGGCAAATTATATATTAACAAACCTCTCTGTTAAAAAAAAAATGTCAGAGCAAAATGTTGTGTATGTAATTTCTGCTGAAGTGGTGAATTCTGAGTCTTTTGAGAAAACGGCCTTTAAAAATATATGTATTGTAATTATTGTGATAATGTAAACACTTACAGTAAATGTGTATCATGGATGTTTTCTTTTTAGTAGTCTGAAAGCAGACAAGGAAGCAAAAAAAGGAAGCCAAAAATTGACCAGTGCATAAAAAAAATAATGATTTTGCCTGCAATGGCTTTCCTTAAAGTGGCTAAGCTGGTTTATGGAACATCATAGCTGATCAACCAGCTTAGACCAGATAGAAATCAGCTACCAGCACAGAATTAAGCAAACTTAGTGAACTGTTTTACTCATCATGTCTAGCTACTCTATGGTTTGAGATGGATCCATGCATGGGATCTGTTTATCTCAGATTTATATTGTCTCATGTCCTGTTGACATTTCATTTCAGAACAGACACACGTTTGCCTTTGACCACAAAGGGGAGGATGCACGAATTGTGAGTAACAGATTTATGGTCTGTTTTGTTTTGTATTTCAAAACGATCTCAATTTGGTATGTTCCTTGTCATTTCAGTACCTTGTTTTATTTAAAATTATCAATGACCTCTTGTGCTTTGTGGTCCCTTTTGCAGAAATTTTGTCAGGGTCTTCTTACAGTCCTCCGTCGATCGGATCATCCACTTTGCCAAAGCACCTGCCTGGAGACCCTGCGCATCCTGTCCAGAGACAAGCGTGTACTTGGACCCGTAGCCACCAAAGAGGGCATCCTCACTTTAGCAGGACTGGCCCGGATCCATGTGGTGGGACAGGACGGAGAGCTGTTAGAGGAGGCGCAGTCAGCAGAGGAGGAAAGGGTTGTGGTGGAAGCCCTCAAGTGCCTGTGCAATGTGGTGTTTAACAGCGTGCCGGCACAGCAAGTGGGCACTGAAGTGAAGTTGGCGGAGGGCCTGTGTGCCCACTTGCATTCGGTCAGCTCGTCCCATCATGAGGTAGGCCTGTTCTCCCTTCGGCTGCTGTTTCTGCTTTCCGCCCTGCGGACGGATGTGCGTGGCATGCTTCGGAAGGAGGCGGGCGCGGTGAGGCTGCTCACTGACATACTGGAACGCACCCTTGACGTCCATTGGGTGGGGCCATATGAGGCCACGCCCCCTAAACCAGAAGCCCTGCCCATTTCCCCAGAAAACAACGAGCTTGCCATGGAAGCCCTTAAAGCTCTGTTCAACATCACTATGTCTGATTCCAGCAATGAGGTGAGAGTAACAGTACTTGTAGAACAGCAAAATAACATTTTATATCTATTTTACTGTGCCTTTTACAAATCTGCTGCTAGATGAATTTACATCTGCGTATAGTGTGTAGTACACAGAAATTAACCTAAGGAAAGCTTTACTATTAAAGGGATAGTTCACTCAAAAATGAAAGTTACATCATTTACAAGTTGTTCCAAACCTGTATGAGTTTCTTTCTTCTGCTGAACACAAAAGATGATATTTTGTTCAGGGTATCCATTGACTTGCATATTATTTTTTTCCATTCTATGGAAGTCATTGGCTACTGTCAACTGTTTGCTTACTTTTAAATATGCAAATATGCTTCAGTTTCCTGCAATGTTCCCTCTAATTTTTTTTTCTTGCTGAGCAAAACCTTTCTCTATTGGGCGGACATTTGAGCCACTTGAGGCCACTTGAGCAAAAATATTCTTTACACCAGACCTGTACAGTGCACACACGAAAAAGTGTGTAACTTTTAACTTTAATGTACCATTTATATTTGATTTGACCCTTGATGTAACTAAATAATGCACATTTTAGGTTACCTGATAAAACATGTTGTAACACTTTAGAATAGAGAACACATGTTCACTATTAATTAAGAGTTTTCCCTCAATAAACTCCTAATTTGCTGATTATTAATAGTAAGATAGTTGTTAAGTCTATGTATGGGGTAGGATTAAGGGATCTAAAATACGGTCATGTAGAATAAGACATTAATATGTGCTTTATAAGTACTAATAAACTGCCAATATGCAATATGCATGCTAATAAGCAACTAGTTAATAGTGAGAATTGGTCCTTAAAGTAAAGTGTTAACAAACATTTTTTTACAGTGCTGTGTTACCAAGAAATTCTATTAAAAAAATAAAACTAAAAAATTAGAACAGTTAAATTCTTTGTTATAATATAATATAATACAAGATAATATTATGTATTATAATTAAATGTATTATAATTAAAAATGAAGCAGATATTTCTCATGATTCATGAATTCCCTTTTTAAGTTCAATTATTTATTAGGTTTATAATATAATATAATATAAAAACAAACTGAAGTATTTAAATTGATAGAATAGAATAGAATAAATTAGAACAGAAAACAAACTGAAGCATTTAAACTGAGATCTGTAAACTAAATATTTTCAAAAAACATGAACATGTAAATACTTATATAGTTATCTGAGTAGAGTTTAGAGTTGTAGAGTTTGCACACTACTACACCTGTGTGTGTGACTGTAAATGTCTCTGAGTTTTGTTTCCGTTCTGAGCTCATCATCCACCACTTTCCACCACTTAATCAAGCCACTCTTCTTTAAAGCATGATGACATTTTATTTCACATGTCATTACGTTAGCGTTGGCTGTCGTGTTGAGCTTTGTAGTCCGCAACCATTAAAGTATTCGATTTCTACAGTGACTCATTTAGCGCAC